TCACTGGAACTAAGAGGCTCAAACCTGCTCCAGCATGACGATGCCCCTGTGCACAAAGCGAGCTCCATGAAGACATGGTGTGTGAAGGTTGGAGTGGAAGAACTCGAGTGTCCTGCACAGAGCCCTGACCTCAACCCCACTGAACACCTTTGGGATGAACTGGAACACCGACTGCACCCCAGACCTCCTCGACATCCCAGCATCAGTGCCTGACCTCACTAATGCATTAATGTTACTTAGCATTAACATTACATAACTTTAGACTAGCATTAACGCTATTTATCTTGGGACTTGGTGAGAGAACGGGAACAGGTAGGCGTCACGTAGTGCCCCTGGGTGATATAGTAGGTGAGATGAGTTTATGTAGGGTTATTATGAAGAGGGAGGAAGAGGAGGAGAAAAGAGAGAGGATGAAGGAGAAGTGTGGAGAAGTGGAGGAAATGATGGAGTTTATTTCAGACACCATGACGGAGATAGAGAGAGGACTAGAGCTGGATGATGTGGACTTTCAAGAGGTGTGGAGTCTTTATAGCATTTTTTTTTTCATTTCTGTTTGTTTGAGAAATTAGATTTGACATTTCTTTTTTCTTTTAGATGTGTCAAGACACAATCAAAAGGTATTTGTTGTGTTTTGTAGATTAAACTTATTTCATGTGTTGGTCTGTAGGTTTCTATACGTAATTCACTCGTAGTATGACTTGTGTTTGTTATAGCTACATTTAATGTTGTAGATCATCCACGAAACAAGTCTCCTAGTGGAAAGCAAACAAAGTACTAAGTATATTTTAAAGAGTGTGTGTGTGTGTGTGTGTGTGTGTGTGTGTGTTTAATGTGTTTGAATAGGGTGTGTATGACATCCCTAACTCCTAATTTTAGTTTTCTTCATTCCTCTCCAATCTTTTAATCTGTTTTTCTTTCTTTTCATATTTTTCATATTTGCTGTTATTTTCAGAATATGGAAGTGCCAAACGAAGCCAGAGAAGTTCTTAGGATCTCTGATCGATCTACCTGAACATGTGGGGAACCTGAGGTTTAAAGTGTGGGAGAAGATGCTGGAGGAAGCACCATACAGTGAGTGAATGTGTGTGGGCATGTTTTTATAACCTGTTGGGGACCAAAGGTAGGATTATGAATATCTGAGAGTTTACTCAAACTGCAGCTTTTATTTAAAAGTTAAAAGTTATTGTTAGGAGTCAGTAGCATTTAGGTGTAGCATAGCATTTATTAGCTGCATTAATAATTAATTATTAATTAATAATCACAAGTATAGTAAGATAAATGGATTAATGTGTAGAGTAATCTGTGGGATTAGTCACAGAAACACTCTAGCTCTCCATCTCTCCCTCTTACTGTCTCCATGTTTCTGTCTAGGCTCGGTAACTCTGGACCCTAACTCCGCCTCTGCCTCCCTCACTGTCTCACCTGGTCTCAATCGGGTCCTGTACTCACCAATGCAGTGTCCTTCTCTCCCTAATGTTCCTGAACGTTTTCACCCCTACTCCAGCGTCTTGGGGTCAGAGCTCATCCTCTCAGGTCAACCCTCTTGGATCGTTGACGTGACTGACAGCACCAACTGGACTTTGAGCCTGGCTGAGGTGTCAATCAAGCGAAAAGAGTCCTATGAGGCATGCCCAGAGGCGGGACTTTGGACCATCAGCTTGAGGGATGACCAGTATTATGCAATGACACCCCCATGTGAGCATCTAAACCTTGGTGAGCTCAGACCTCGACGGATTGGCATGTGTGTGGATTGGGAGAGCGGCAGTGTGTGTTTTACAGACTCAGACTGTGACACACACCTATACACTTTCTCACAAACACTTTGATACTTTGAGAGCATCTGCACCAAGAAGCCAATGATTCTGTTACAAAACAGGGTATCAGTGATCATACAGGAAGAGGAAGTTGCAGGTGATGATACAGACGTTTCTAATCATACAAAAATTCTACATTTTATTGCTAATGAAACAAAAAATATTGTAGTTTAAAGCTAAGAATACATACGCCAAGGCAATGGCTCTCAAATATGAAACTTAAAATTATGTTTGAGTTGATAATTATTAGATTTTTTGACTGCTCTCTTGAATTGAATGGGTTTAGAGAAGGCTAACTAGTAAAACTTACACCACAGAACTGTTGAATACTGGATTGTGATTGGTCAGATGTTGATTAATTTTCTAAAACAGCAGCTCTGACAGTAGTGCAGCTGCAACTCACAGGTTTATATTAATGCACTCACTCTAATACGTTATTGTTTCTATAGTAACAGCTCATTCACAGGAACTTGTACAGCTGACGCTCCACTTAAATCGATTTAAAAAACAAACAAACCGGTAATCATTGCTATGGTGACACTTTCAGTAAGAAGACTTTTATTTAACATTTATGGAAGGAGTCTCCAGTGTCAGTGCTTTGTAACAGTCAGAGGTAAAGCTGTAACTGAAAGTTTCCAGCATCTTCAGGACAGAGGAGTTTACATGTAATATGACAAACTGCTTTTTTTCCCCTTTTTTTTTGAGAGGCTGGTGAGGGAACAACTGTTCCCATTATGATGTGATATTCTCTAACAATAATTGTTGGAAATCGTGGTGATATAAGAGGAATAAAACACTTGGAGGTGTGCTGTTATAGAAAATAAT